GGAAAGAGGAGGGAAGGGGAGAAGAGGAGAGGAGGAGAGGGGAGAGGAGAGGAGAGGAGAGGAAAGAGGAGGGAAGGGGAGAAGAGGAGAGGAGGAGAGGGGAGAGGAGAGGGGAGGGGAAAAGAGAGAAAGAGGGGAGAGGAGAGGAGGGGAGGGGAGAGAGGAGGGGGGAGGAGAGGAGAGGAGGGGAGGGGTAAACCACACTTCTCCATCCTAGCACCTTCTAGCTCTGGCTGGTTACAATTCCAACAGAGCCTGAGGATTCTGGCAGATGTGGTCCCTCACATCTGGAGGGCCCCATGTTGGGGAAGGCTGACCTCACACCACCTCCAGATACTAGCCAGCCTGCCTGGAGACCCGGCCGTCTGTGGTTCTTAACAGGGCGGTGCCTCCTCAGATGGAGTCAGAGACAATATGGGCTCTTCCTGGAGTTATAGAGAACTTTATTTGGAATAGAATAGAGCAGTTTATTTGGCCAAATGTGATTAGACACACAAGGAATTTGTCTCCGGTGCAGAAGCTGGAAGAACCAGTAGCAGGAAGGCTCTGGCCCAGACACCCCCCTTCCCCCCGTCTGTTTCCTAAACCAACAGATCGTTTTTCGTCCAGAATCTCTTATAAACCTGCCTTCAGTTTATCCACATCACGACAACCCTGTCAGGTAGGCTACCTGACAGAGGGAATGACTGGTGCAGAGTCACCCAAGGTGACTGTCCATCCCTGAGAGGGGAGGAGAATCCCGGTCTCCCAATCTTAGCTCCAAACTTTCACACCTTTACAACACCACCGTGGGTGATTTAAAAAGTCTACACTGAACTTCAGTGTTTTGTTTGCTGGCTTTGCTTACTCCCCCCCCCCCCCCGTGGATTTTTTCTTGAGGGCCTCCAAATGCAGGCGTACTTTCAGCGGGCCTGATAAAAGTGCTGCTTCCTTGTGATTTTTGGAACAGTCTGTTTGAACTCTGGGGCTGGAGAAGACTCCTGCGAGTCCCCTGGACTGCAAGGCGATCCAAC